TTTTGGATGTTGTCCAGAAGTCAAATAAATTCTTGAATTGTTAAAGTTGCATTCCTTTCTGTTATGATGCTGGCATATTGTATTATTGTGAAGAGGCCTTTGTAAGGCCTCCGTTTCATAGAAGGTGTATTATTGTATATCAAGTATATATGTACTGAATACAGTAAATATCTCTAACCTCTGGTTTTGTATATTAATTTGCATCTTTTTCCTATTTCAGCTTCCTGATATGCCAGATAGTAAAATGAGACTGATTGCATCTTTAAAGAGGTAAAATTTCCTTCTTTAGGTAATGTTAAATTTTGAGATGTAATGACTTACTTTGCTTGTAATTAAAATAAAATTCAGGTAAAAAGAAAATATTTCAGTTTCTTATATAAATACAGGATTTATTTTCATTGATGATATGAAAATAAGTATTTCACGAGTGTCAGTAGCCATGAGTAAATATGATAATTTTCATACTACAAGATGAAAATAAAGAAAATAAGATATCTTGTCTTTTTAGCTGGGCTGACAATGTTAATATTTTGTCTTTTTAGCTGGGCTGACAATGTTAATTTTTTGTCTTTTTAGCTGGGCTGACAATGTTAATATTTTATCTTTAGCTGGACTGACAATGTGAATATATTTTGACATTTTTACTGAGTTGACAATGAAAATATTTTGTTATTTTCACTGGTTTTACTATGTAAATATCTTGTCATTTTCACTGGACTGGCAATGTAAATATCTTGTCTTTTTGGCTGGGCTGACAATGTTAATATCTTGTCATTATCATTGAGCTGACCTGACAATGAAAATTTAACTGATATTTAGGTGTACTGACAATATAATGTTTTCACAGGGCTGACAAGATACCAATATCCATGTATTCTGCATATGAAAAAGGTTGTAAAAGGGAAGCAAGTCAACTTTTGGAAGGTAGAATTTTAAAACAGTATTGTGCATACAGTATATACAATAAGTTTTAGTATTTATATGTTATTAAAGTTTTTTGATTTTGTAAATAAAGGGGTTATTAGTTATTGAGAATGGCTTAGCAACATTTGAAAGAAGTATAGAAAACCACATCATTGAAGCTGGATTAATTGATAAAATAGAAACTGCATCATTATGAAACAAAACACAACTTGTAATATTTCTGTAGACAAAGTAACTAGTGACTTAAGTAAATGGCTAGGATGCATTATGTAGCTATATATTTGTGTTAAAAAAGACACTTTAGATCTGAGTCTGCCATATTTTGGCAATATTTACTATTGATAAAGTGCTTTGATGAATGAAGCATTAATTGTTTCTCTTGGGGGTGGGGGGGGGCATGTTCTATTTGAGGTAATTTGAGAAAAACCAAATTGTGAATTTGACACCATGTTAAAAAAATAGAAATTGTCAGAAGTTCGGAATATGGTTAGGAGTGAGTCAATTTATGGGACATTATTAATAAAGAAAACATAAGGATTTTGAATATTTGAAATGGAGACATTTAATTGGTTGGGATATGTAATAGAGATGTTGTATTCATTTTCTATTCAATCAGGGGTGTTTATTCATTCTGATACTGATGATGAAATGGAATTGTCTCCCTTTGAACTATTGGAAAACACACTGCAGTTGTTGAAAAGTAGAATTAAAAGCAGAGAAAATGCAGATTCTTTTAAACACACAGGTATTTGTATTTTAAACTTGGTTTGATAAATAGTTATGGAAAGGAGCCTCTGTGGCCCAGTGGGTTATGATTGCTAACTTCAATTGTTGAAACCACTTGCTGTAGATTGCCACATGTTCAAATCTTACCAAGGACTTGAATGTTTTTTATTGTGAAGTAGTTTAAAGATTGTCAGCTTCTAACCTTAAAGAAAAGAAAGAATATACTGGCATGCGAGCAGTTCCCGTACAGAAGCAGTACCCGTATTTTTCATTTAAACGCTTGATTTTTACTTGCATTCTTCAAAAATTCATTTCAAATCAAGCAGATACATAAACAAGACAAAATCTAAGTGTCAGTTCGGCAGTACGTATAAAAAATCTCATTATAAATCACTTTCACCTGTGCGTCGTCAAAACGTGACCTCGTTTTCTCTGGGGGATTTCGTCCTTGCGCGCATGCGCAATAATACTTACACGTGAGGCTTGTTAAAGGGTTTTCCACTAATACCACCTGTTTACAGATAAGTAGGCAATGTGATGAAAACTTGTTTAATTGTCATAATTTTGACCAATATTACTATATGAAATAATTTTATGGCTTTGATGCGTAAAATATCATGCATACAAGCATGCTATTGCATGTAAATGCGTTGGGGTAACAGTACCGGGTAATAGATACCCGCGTTTAGTCTACGCTCTATTTCCTGAATAACATCTATTTATCTCTTAGATAATGGTCTGTTCAACAATTGTAAATGAAAAATAGGTCCGATATAATAAAATTGTAAAATTATAATGGGTTAGATTTTATGTACGGGAACTACTTCTCTTCATACAAAATAATGGATAATTTCGGTACCCCATTTGAGGCCTCATTAGTAAGGGTTATTCTATGTTTAGAACATGATGGAATTTCCATGATTTGTGTGACGAGCCGAATATTGATGTGTAAAATTCAAATTTTGGTGAGTGAGCGTAATAAAAAATAATGTTAAGGTAACTATGATTTTTGTACGGGAACTACTCGCATGCCAGTACTCTCTAATAGATTTATATTCAATAAAAAAATTAAATAGTTAAAAAGATACATAAATTAAACATTATACATGTAGTTACTCGTGTGTAAGTAAATTATCATGAGGTATATCATATTTTTTTCAAACCCTTTTAAAATTTATATGGCCCAAATTAAGTTTTTTTATAATGGATATAAAAAAATTTTTTAATGTTTTTAGTTCCAGAGATCTACCCACAACTATGGGGAAGAATAAAAATGTTTTGAAATATCCCCCCCATGTTTAGTTTACATACCCCAGAATGTGTTCCCCATAGCAACAGATAACCCAAAATTAAATCTCTACATTTAAAGGTAATTTTGTATACATTTGAGTCCCCCTAACAATCGGACAGCAAACAATTTTGAAAACTAGGGGTGCAGTTTCCTTCTTTTGTGTGGCTAATTTTCCATGACAAACTGATCTCAGACATTGATTCTAATGGTCATTTGTCTCTAACCAATGATTCAGAAATCTTGTGGCATTAGTAGTCTGTCACTTTAAGGAAAAAATTGGTAATTACTTGTTAGTTATTCAGGAAAGCTTATTTGGTTGATGACGGATGAGATGAAAAATGTGTTAAAATTGGCTAAATAATCTGTAAAACAACAAACAAATAAAGAAACAAACTCTTTCACTGATCTTTATGTGATATAGTTTTGAAATTTGCAACATTTTATTGACTATTAACATTAACATTTTATTGACAAGAAAACGTTACATTGATCTTGGCAAATTTTATTGATGTATTTTAGCTTTTTGATCCACATTTATAGGCCGTTCTTACCAGGCATTCTTGTATATTGGATTTTTTATGCCCCCGCCATGTAATGGCCGGGGCATATAGTGTTACCCTGTTCCGTCATTCCGTCATCATCAGTTTCCGTTCATTATCTTAAGAACGGTTGCACACATTCAACTCAAATTTGACATATGGATATGTCATGAGAAAATACAGGTCAAGTTCGAATTTGGCCATGGTTCGATGATTTTTGGCAGAGTTATGCCCCTTTTACTTTGAAAATAATATGAAATTTCAGTTTCCGTTCATTATCTCCCCAACAGTAGAACACATTCAACTCAAACTTCACATATGGATATGTCATGAGAAAATACAGGGTCAAGTTTGAATTTGGTCATGGTTCGATGATTTTTGGCAGAGTTATGCCCCTTTTACTTTGAAAATAATATGAAATTTTCAGTTTCCGTTCATTATCTCCCCAACGGTACAACACATTCAACTCAAACTTGACATATGGATATGTCATGAGAAAATACAGGTCAAGTTTGAATTTGGTCATGGTTCGATGATTTTTGGCAGAGTTATGCCCCTTTTACTTTGAAAACAATATGAAATTTTCAGTTTCCGTTCATTATCTCCCCAAAGGTACAACACATTCAATTCAAACTTAACATATGGATGCGTCAAAGAAATGTGCAGGTCAAGTTCAAATTTGGTCATGGTTCAATGATTTTTGGCAGAGTTATGCCCCTTTCACTTTGAAAGTAATATGAAATTTTCAGTTTCTGTTTATTATCTCCCCAATGGTACAACACATTCAACTCAAATTTGACATATGGATATGTTTTTGGAATGCCCAGGCCAAGTTCGAATTTGGTCATGGTTCATTGATTTTTGGCAGAGTAATGCCCCTTTCACTTTGAAAATAATATTAAATTTACAGTTTCTGTTCATTATCTACCCAACAATATTACATATTCAACTTAAATTTGACATATGGATATGTCAAAGGAATGGGCAGGTAAAGTTGGAATTTGGTCATGGTTTGATGATTTTTTGGCAGAGTTATGTCCCTTTCACTTTGAAAATAATATAGATACATCTTAGGAATAAGCAGTTTATGTTTGAATTTGGTCGTGGGTCAATGATTTTAGACAAACTTATCTTTCCTGAATGTTGGAAAAATTTTGAACTTCCAGTTTCAGCACTCATACTTTAGCCATTATTTTGGCTACAAATATGCAATATGCTATTTTTAAAAGGTTAAGACTGAATAATTACAGTGCCTTGAACATTGTATGAAAATGGTTTGTGTTAACATTGAAAAGTTTTAAGGGCTTTGAACTTAAAATGAAAAAAATCTGAAATTTTGGCTGCATGCGGGGGCATCCGTGGCATGATGACACATTTCTAGTTTTGTACACATTTGTTCTTATTACATATACTTATTCATGTATAATTTCAAGGTCACTTTCTTGATCCACGTTTTTTTTCCAGCATTTATTTGTTCAATGTTCAGCATTTTGTTTTTTCAATTTTCAACATTTATTTGTTCAATTTTTAGCATTTATTTGTTCAATTTTCAGCATTTATTTGTTCAATTTTCAGCAATTATTTGTTCAACTTTCAGCATTTATTTGTTCAATTTTCAGCAATTATTTGTTCAACTTTTAGCATTTACTTATTTGTTCAATTTTCAGCATTTATTTATTTTTTAGGCCGACAATTCGATAAGAATAAGTAGAGCTATTGTAGTCACCCGAGCGTCGGCGTAGGCGTGGGCGTAACCACTTATGTTAAAGTTTTTGTAATAGTTCAAAAATTTTCAAAGTCCATTGACATATGGCTTTGAAACTTTAGGAGGTAACTCTATCAAGCATTTTTACAGAATTATGCCCCTTTTTCGGCTTAGAATTTACGTTAAAGTTTTCGTAATAGTTCAAAAATTTTCAAAGTCCATTGACATATGGCTTTGAAACTTTGCACACATATTCACCAACATGTAGACAGGAGGAGGTAACTCTATCAAGCATTATTACAGAATTATGCCCCTTTTTCGGCTTAGAATTTACGTTAAAGTTTTTGTAATAGTTCAAATATTTTCAAAGTCCATTGACATATGGCTTTCAAACTTTGCACACTTGTTCACCATCATAACCCCAACTTGTAGACAAAAGGAGGTAACTGTATCAAGCATTTTGACAGAATTATGCCTCTTTTTCAACTTAGAATTTACTTTAAAGTTTTTGTAATACCTCAATATTTTCAAAGTCCATTGACATATGGCTTTGAAACTTTGCACACTTGTTCACCATCATGACTCCAACCTGTAGACAGGGGGAGGTAACTCTCTCAAGCATTTTGACAGAATTATGCCTCTTTTTCGACTAAGAATTAATGTTAAAGTTTTTGTAATACCTCAAATATTTTCAAAGTCCATTGACATATGGCTTTCAAACTTTGCACACTTGATCACCATCATGACCCCAACATGTAGACAGGAGGAGGTAACTCTATCAAGCATTTTGACAGAATTATGCCCCTTTTTTGGCTTAGAATTTACGTTAAAGTTTTTGTAATAGTTCAAATAATTTTCAAAGTCCATTGACATATGGCTTTGAAACTTTTGCACACTTGTTCACCATCATGACTCCAACCTGTAGACAGTGAAGGAGGTAACTCTATCAAGCATTTTGACAGAATTATGCATTCTTTTTTCGACGTAGAATTTTACTTTAAAGTTTTTTGTAATACCTGGCAAATTGAATTTTCAAAGTCCAGCTTTTGACATATGGCTTTGAAACTTTGCACACTTTGTTCACCATCATGACTCCAACCTGTAGACTGGAGGAGGTAACTCTATCAAGCATTTTTCAACAGAATTATGCCCCCTTTTTCGACTTAGAATTTAACGTTACAGTTTTTGAAATAGCTCAGATTATTTTCAAAGTCCATTGACATATGGCATTTTGAAACTTTGCACACTTGTTCACCATCATACCCCAACCCTGTAGACAGGAGGGGGTACTCACAAAGCATTTTTACAGAATTATGCCCCTTTTTCGACTTAAAATTTACGAAAAGTTTTGTAATACCCAAATATTTTCAAAGTTCATTGACTTTAGGTTTTTAAAACATTTTTAAAATTTTTAACTTTTCTTTGAGGCTAATGGGAATCTCTCCAAGGCCTATAACTGTAATATGAATTTTAAGAAAAAATTT